CACAAGTGATGTCTTTGCCACGTACATGAGATTTTTAATGTAAAATTTCCTGAATATACACAAGCCGGAAAAGGAGTCACGCAGCATGCATCAGGAAAGGGAAGATTTTGAAACACCATACGAATTTACTTGTGAACCTGACCAAGGTTCTGTTCAAGAATATCAAACCTGGTTTCCCTTCGTTTCAGTATACTTCAGTTTGATTTTTGGTTGTTTATTGAGACAAGCAAAATTATTGAAATATTTTTTTTACGAAGAATCACATTTGGTTTACCAACGGTGGGTGTTGGCTTCACAGTGGGCATTCGGCTCATGTAACAATATTCAAGTATAACTCAGGCGATGAAGATTCTCATGAAGTTCGGCGTGTGAGGTAGACCGAAAGGATTACTGAAACCGATTTTCGCTCCCACAATTTTAAGGTTGAATGGCTGGGAAATGCGTTACTGCACGGAATTCGGGGTGGTCAGGTTTAATGGTCGGAACAAACGTTTGATAGTCGGCCTTGGAAGGTACCTTATTTAAATTTGGGATAATCTACTGCAGCTCGAAATCAAATTAGGACGATGAAAAAGAATGCTACTGGCAAAACGAGATCGCTGAGTGTAGCTGCGTCACGGGTAGTACAAACGTTAAAAGATATAACGCGCATTTATCAGGCAGAAGAGATTCTTTTATCTCATCACCGAATATATATTGTGAAATTTTAGACACCATTTCGTATAGGAATTTGAATAAGTTCTTGTGATGCTATCGATGGCTTAATAATAAGTAAAGGAGTAGGAATACATCGGGCACAGGAACTACAAGGTTCGGTTCCTATAGGTGTGAAATAATCCGACCGTTGCTGGATCTAGTCACTCGATCCAGAGGTTCACATGTCTACTCCTGCGACCCAATACATTTTACCTCACAGAAACAGGCATAAACAGTGCTGTGGAAACGGGCAATTACGCTGAGTTAGAAACACAGTGACGACCTGGAAGCGGACACAATGCGAAATGTCGCTATTGTCACCCTTGAAAGGTACCGATATATTAACTGGTTTCTTACCATTGGTGGGGACCGTGTTAAGTAACCGTTGACACATTGGAATGTTTTCCATCAGTCGTTCTGAAGGAAAAGGTCTCAAATACATTTCAGTTCACCCTCAATAGTATCTGTGAACAACCTTCGCACAATGGTAGCTAGGCACTGCATTAGGTTTCTCTTGCGTTCCCACATCAAAAAGCTTTCAAGTGAATATACCGATCATTCCACGATCCCATCCAAAGGACGGTACACCACGGAGTTCCATCTGATTGACGACTTGATGGCACGTTAGGAATGCAATCTGTGTATTGTTTTCTTTCTCCAGACTGTACTAAGTCAAACGCTTCACAACGTAGGGAGATTCATCGTATCATTGGTATACTGTTCGTATATGTTGTGCGGCCTTAGTTACTTGAAATCTGTCAATAATCACGGGAGCCTATAACAAGACCAAGTTTCGTCGTTTAGGTTAAACGATCCATCCATGTTCACCATCAAAACCGCGACGAACCTCCACCCACCTCTTCTACCTATAACAAGAATTCTGATACCGTAATATCCAACATCCAAAAAGCACCTCTGTGTACACTAGGACAACATAATCGCTACACACCTTCACTATTGCTGAGTGCACCTGAATATGAATAAAACAAGTAACACAATATGAGCAGAATTGATCTTGGCCATCGCTTTCGCGTGCTCTCAATCAGCTGTCTACGCACATTAACTGCGCCTAAATTGTTTTCAAACTGCAAATATTATTCGATAATTAAAAAAGATCCAATGCTCTACTTGAAGCGAACTTTCTATGACATCCCNGGCGGCTTATATTGTAGACTTTCTCTTCACCGAGTACCATAATTTGATCGAGAGTGAAATAATTTTAAGTTGTGCGTTATTCCGTACGAATTTAACTTTCAGGTAAAATGGAAATTGTTTTGCACTATTTTAAGTGAATCATTACAAGTTACGATAGCAGCTCCGAATCTTATAATAGGAAGAGTGACCCCGAAGTCGAACCAAACTGAGTTTCGGATACGTTGTTTTTATCACCTGATATCAGGAGACTCCCTTGCGATTGTCGACAAAATTACAAAGATGAAGTAACAACGCAGCGCCCACTATGAGAACAGCAGAAAGTGCGAAATACACGGTTGGAACGCAGCACTGTGATGGTTCAGCGATTGGTGTGCATGAAAATATGCCACCGTCCCATCAAGTCGTAATGCATAAATGCAATAACCATCTTTGTCATCATTTGATACGGGAAATAACAGTGGTGCTTGATTCTGTTGCGAAAATTGGGAGTTTTGATTATTTCAATTTTTTTCCGTAAACATCCTGCAATATGCCTATTGCTTCCAAAACTTTTTTTACCGCAAGGGTCTACAAGGGGTGGACAAAGACATTTTCTTCAGCCTCCCCTGCATCGTGAACACAAACGGAGTACGAGGTATAATGATCCAGCAGCTGGATGACGACGAAAAAGAAAAGCTTTTCGTCAGCGCGAAGAAGATGGAAGAACTGCTTCAAAGCATTGAGTGGTAACAAAAACCGTCTTGTTAAAGAAAATTCATTTATTTACTGAATGTACAGATGAATCAAGAATGTTCCACATTCACAACTTTGATTTCCTGAAAGAAGGAAAAAGCAATCAACTTGAACATCATGCACGCCTTTTCCATGCAAATATGAAGGATTCACGGTTACACGCGATATCAAATTTAATGTAAATGAAACACATTTTGCACTGGCTTTTAGAAACAAGGTTGAAGCAGTTCCCGCGAAAATAGACGAAATTGGCTAGCTTGCTTCCACAGCTACAATAAAGTGTCCACAGAATTGCCGAGTCTGACATATTGAACAACCTCTAGGCGACTATCTCCTGTAGGCAAATAAGTCGATTTCATAAACATCATGGATCACGGATTACTACTATATTAGCAGAATGAGTATGGTCACATTGACTGGTGGAAATTCTGAGAAATACAATTGGAAGCGGTGTCCCCAACACCATAAAAACATTTTATTCGAGTTCGGAACCGCAATTGAGCAGGGTGACTCGAGCGAAGTCCGTCGCCAGTAGTCTGAAATACCCTGTTAATTAGATAGACTGGCAAAAAGGCAGTGGTTATGCTGGTGATTTACCACGTCACTGTGCTGTAGTCATAATTATCGCGTTTTCCAAGTGAAAGACAATCATATCCTCAGGCTTGCCTCCTTGGCTAAGTGGTTAAGGACAAACTGGAGCAATGATGAAGAACAGGGCAGGTTTTCGCCTAACACGCTAACTTCCAACAACAAACCGCACGTTCTACTAAAGAGCATCGCGACCTGCATAGATCGGCCAGCCACCAAAAAAAGTAATAGCTATTATTACGTTGCTGTGCAGCACTAATCTGTGGAACAGCAAGGGGCGCGTCTTCGGAACTGAAAGCCATGTAGTCAGTACCATACTTCCAAGACTTTTCACGGTTTCCACCACGGGAACCGAATTATTCTCACGTAGGAGAAATTTCCCTAAAATCTAAAAAGGACAGAAGACCCAAAACACTTCGGATTGTCGACAGCCAACATTTTCACAGTTCAGAAATTGTACACACCTAAATTCGATGAACCGCAGACGGGGTAAACCCCATTGTCACGAGGACCCGCTGTTCAGTGGTGGAAACCGGTAGCCTAGGCCCCGGGACTTGGAGTGGCAAACCACATAAGGCCCCGATAGGTTAGGCGTGGTATTGAATCGGACGACAGCAAAGCTGCCTACCACCATAGTGGGGTGGCGGGGCTTGAACTTCAGTCCATAAAGTCCAAAGCACGACGGTGACAGTGAGCCAGCTATTCCAGGGTAGACGAGGATAAACATTGAACCTGGACAACCTGAATGTTAGCCGCACGTATTGAGCGTTTCTGTTTCGCAATGCTGTGACGAACACCATAGGCCTACTACGCTGTGATGAAAACTGGAAACATGGGCCTTGGCATAGAGAATGGTGAAGTACATTAAACCTGATAGGATAGGCACCTTACTGGGTGTGACGCCAGCAAAGCCCTGCAGCGGGTGTCAAGGTGGTGTACGAAAACCGATGTCTACTTCAAATTGCACGAATCTGGTGGGAAAACCGGACGAGGCGCGAAGGTTTACGTAATCGCGGTCGTCCACTGAAGTAAGTGGTCGACCTCCATAGACTGCCTGATTGGGCCATGATCTGCGCGTGTCAGCAAATTGTCACGGCGCGCAAGGTTTGTCGACGCCGACAGTGGATGGACAAAGGTTAAGAGCGGTCAAAATAAGACATGGTATGAAGTTATGAAAACCCATATCAGGAGACTTGCTCACTTAGGCCGCGTTAGGCTTCCTGGATGGAGACCTCGGGATCATCGCAACCGGTGGTTAGAGATAGAGTGCCGCAAACAGTGGCGCTCGCGCATTTACTCAGCATTCTTGCAACTCCAGTCTATATGGATTCTATCTTTTTGACTCGGACTGCAACATTCCGTTCTCCTTTGTGCCATTTTATCCAAATAGGCAGTCATCAAACAGCAACCCAAACCGGCGCACAAAAATGCATGTTTAATGGTTGTAAAAACTGAACTGACCAAACTCGTAACTGTAGTGACTAGAACAAACCGCTAAGCGGTGTATCTTCTAAATCACATTATTCACCTAATATTATCGCTTGATTATATTATGCAACTTTGCTACTTTTCAAATCACCAAACGATGTCACAGACAGCAAACAGAACGAATCCTAACCCAGTACTGCAAACGGCTGTTTGACCTGAACCAAATGAACATCTGGTGCGGACGGTAATTGGTCGCCTTCAGATAAGCTATGGCCAACCCTAAATCATGACGTTTAATAGATAGCATTTTACTTTGTAATGTTCATAGTAAAACACGCGGACATTTGATACTACTTGGAGTAATGATGAAATACGTTAATGGTGCAAAACATTGCAAAAACTCACGAGTCAATCACACGGCGCTTTTCGGTAAGCTGGCGGACTTCCTTCTCTTTTCGTTTGATTGAATGAACCATCTTCTTATAAGCGTTTCGATGCTTCTTGGGTAAAAGCATTTCACGTAGCTTGCGCTCGGCATTGGCTTCTGCTCTCTCCTGCATGAGCTGAGCCTTTTTGTTTTCAGAACGGCCAGGAGTGATTAGAGGATCCATACCTAGTGCAAAATACAGAAAACGGGTTTGAAGCTGAAGTTTCATAGTTTTTACTTAGGTGGTGGAACTTATGGGAAATCCTGAGGTTCAATTACTTTATATATGGCACCACTTTATAAATGCGAATCGAAGTCTCTCATTCTACTCATTTCTTTCGCAAAGTACGTTTGACTACACAAATGATAAAATTCACCTTCCACAATCCATCAAGAAGCATGTCTTTAGAGCGCTGAACTGCCTGTGTAGACCGATGTATGGAGGACGCACAAAGCGCACTTGGTAGACCGTTCGGTATGTGCTTTGCACCTTCAAAGTGCAAAGTGACACTTCAAGACTGGGTATCGTCCAATCCCGCTTTGAAACTTAATGATCAGGAAATATCTAAAGTGGACTGCTTTTTCTACTTAGGTAATTGTGCGACCAATGACGCTAGCGAGATAACTGACAGCATTTCCAAGACTCCATCAGCTTACGCATGGCTGAAGCACCTTTGGTGTAGATATGATGTTTCGTTGAAACTGAAACATCGTGTATACTGCGCCAGCGCGCGGTAAGCGTTCGGTTTTACGGTTGCACGTTGAAGATATTCGATTTTCGATGTTTACGTAGTTTGGCGCGGGTTGCGTGGAGTTAGCGGGTAAACAACTCGGAGTTACGTCGTCGCGTATTTGGTAATGATTCGCTATCAGAGATAATTCAGTCGACTCCACTGGCTGTGGCACGTATTGCGTATGCCCAAATGTCGTCTACGCCATCGTGTTGGGAACACTGAAGGATATGGCAACTAACCGACAGCAGTGGCTTTCTGGTTGTCATTTCTTATCAGGTGGGAACGCGTGAAAAGTTGTGTATGAACAGCACTGTTGAACATGAAGAGCATTTCAGTTCAGTTCAGTTTGAACAACCATTAACCATGCACTTTCGTGCGCCGGTTGCTGTCTTTTGGCTGCCCGTTGGGATGAAGAATAGGAGAAGAAAGGAAAGTTGAAAGTGGATTCGAAAAGAAAATGGAGAAGTTCAGTGGACTAAGGTTGGAAAGAAATTGAGGAGATGCACGAAGAGTATTAGGCAGAGAATGTCTTGCATGTCTAATCTGATCTATTCTGTCACGAAACAGAGCTCCTAGTTATTACCCTAACCATAATTGAAAGCGTGCACGAAGTAGCCGAGCCAGACTGGCTGACCGGGTTTCCGGCTTTTGAAGGCGACCGATGGAGCTGAAGTGCAAAGCGCATCAAATCTAGTGCGTGATCAGATTCAAGGTAAGACCTAAAAATTTGTAGGGAGCAACCAACCTCCCATTTGAGTAGCCTCAGGTGTTGAACTGAAGCGCCATGTTTCCGCCTGTCGAGGGCCATGTCGGAAGTTCGTACTGGACAAGAACAATTGAGCTGCACAAAACTGAATTGAATCTCCGTTATTTTGGCTAGCTGGGTTAAAAGATATCTTAGATAGGCTTCTGATGCGCTTAAATTTACCCCATGCGTTTTAAAACCGCCTGCAAGGTTAGCTACATCCGAGCTTCGGCTTATTCTGAAGGATTTGACGAGTTTATCGCTGCTGGTTGGGACATGTCATTGTGTATAAACACGTCTTGGTTACTCCCATTCCCAATACTGCATCACATACAAACGTCTGCTGAGAGAAATCCAATCAAAAAAGTGAAGTTTCAGCTGTCTGATAACAGCGCCTGCCTCATCGCCTCTTGATGTGCGCAGTAGTTCGGTGCTTATATCACGAGGGTACTGAACACGTGTATTCAATACGTAGCAGAGATCAATTACCAGAGATTCTATTGTACGCGTAAGATAAGCATGTTTACACACCTGTAGGAGTGTTTTCTGTGTTGAAAGTCCCCGCCGCCCCCCTCCACCCCCAAGGATGAGGATACTAAACCTACAGCCCATCCGTTGGGCCATCACTCATGCTATTTAACTAGGGCGAACGATACACAAATAGTATATCTGAATATCATGGGTCACAGGGGTGAAGGTAGAAGATAGGTGGGAACCAACTGGACAGGAGTTCACTTATAATTACCTACAACGTTCGATGATATGAGCAGCGTAGTAAAAATTNTATCCTGTGCGATGAGCGATGCAGTATGGAATTATGTTTAGTTTTTATTAGAGTTAGGTGGATGAGTACTTTTAGGGAGTTGAGCCAGTTAGCCGGAGAACGATTGGGGTTCTGAATCAAAGCCTTTAGTTCTGCCAAGAACCTAACCGCAAAGTAACAAGTAAGGAGAGCTAATAAAATACAGAAAAGCTTGTGAATAACAAGTTGTTGAGCAGAAGTGATGTACTGCTCCACGTTTCGATGTCGTATGGTCTTCGTTAGGAGAAAGCGAATTGGTAAGTAATCAGAATCGATAAGGTCAGTCCAACTGGATCGACTATTCATCTATCATTTTTACCGACTGATGTTTTAACTTGAGTCGAACCCCCAACCGAAGAACCAGGAAAAAGAACTTTGTCTGACCCCTAACACCTGACCTTGTAGGTACGATTATATATTTTGACTTGATAAAGTCATTTCATGTAGCTCGTTGTGTCATAGCATTGCACGAGCCGCTAATGGGATTGGTAATGTCAAGGACGGATGTCACGCGACTATTACTGAAGACTACCACCTTTGGAATAATACAAACTCTGGTAAACAAAACAGGAACACCAATGATTTACCTTTGATGGACTTTTTCAGCTTTGCATTTTCTTTTTGTTTTTTCGTTTTGACTTCATGAGTTTCCGGCTCTGACTGCATTGATTCATCGTCGTCTGACTGCCCATTATGGTTATCGTCATGCTCATACGCGGTGAGCGACGATATCTCCAACGGCGCTCTTCCTTCAGCCTGTGCCTGAACGGCGTTTCCTCGAAGCTCAGCTAAACTAACGAGCCCGGCGAAATAGTCGGCTTCCGGTGGTCGATACGTATTGGCACCCTCACCGAAACCAGGAGCAACACCTATCAAGCCACCGCGCTGACTCACAGAAGATTGGACTAGTATTTCGTTGAGACCGGAACCAGCGGTAAACGGACTCAAGTGAGGTGGTAAACTGACCCCTGGTAAATAATCCTGAGCGGGTAAAATACGCCCAGCGTTCAAACTGTCAAAAACCCACTGTGGTTGGACGTAGTACCTACAAAGAAAATTCATCGTGATTACAGAGCATGAGGAAATGCATAACGCTTCACCAAATACTATGCCTAGCATCACTACTGTGTGGATAGAGTTGCGAGACCGATCTCTTGTAATCTGGTCAAGAAGATACACGTAATTAACTTGGCTGTTTATTTTTCCTTCGGTCTTCTCTGGGTCTTAGTAGGATATCGGATGGAACAAACGACTGATTGGAAGATGAAATACCTTACTAAGGAAGTATAATTATATTATCATATGAGTAATTAGATTCAACCGGAATAGAAAAACTGTTTGAAAAGCCGACGCTGCAAGAAATTCTAGTACATAACAAGCTGAATGGATATGGGTGATTCAAACTGCTGCCTTGAATGAAATATGACAAGCACTAGGCCTGACTTACTACTTCCCAAGTGTATGTTTGGTTGGATTAACAGAGGAAGTCATATGAATTTGAAGTACGAACGATGACCATTTGTACTTGATATCACCTACCCACACCAACACACACATAAGTAACTTTTCCTATTATTACTCAAATAAGTGTGTTGAACAGCAGACAGGGTAAACTCCATTGTCACGAGGACCCGCTGTTCAGTGATGGAAACCGGCAACCTAAGCCCCCGGACTTGGAGTGGCGAACTACATAAGGCCCCGATAGGTTATGCGTGGTATTGAACCGGACGACAGCAGAGCCACCAACCACCAAAGTCGGGTGGCGGTGGCGGGGCTCGAACCTCGGACCATATGGTCCAAAGCACGCTGGTGACAGCGAATTCAATGAAGTCAATCTGAATTTTACGTTTCATAAGTTAACTTGTTAACTAATCTCGTGATAGAAACGATCACAAAAATGGTGTTTGCACTAGCAGATACGTATTAGGCAACCTATGCTCAAAGTACGCCTGTGTTTATTGCTTGTCTCAGTTCAAATTGATGACGGCTCGAAGAACCCATTTATGAGCATAAAACAGCTACCACAAACGGAAAATAAAACATACCTTGTTATTTTCAAATCAGTCATGGGTCTATCAACGATTTGGTAGTCTATCTTTGGATCGTCTTCCGGAAATGTTGCACCAGGGCTCACAGACTTGTCCCAGGAGCATTCTCCTCCACATGATCTTACGATCAGACAGACGACATCTCTTGGAATTTCTCGCATAAGATAGAACCGTTTTCCTCTGAAGAGATTTTGTACTTTTTGGTCGTTTATTTGTTTTTTTATGGCCAATGAGACTTGATCGTCAATGGCCTGAAGGCAAAAAAGGAAACATGGGAGATGTGTTGCTACCCAATGTGTGGAAACATTATGCCACAGTAATCCAAAAGGCAAGTGTTTAGCGATAGGGCAAACAAATAAATGTAAATGAGAGCAATAAATCACGCTATCACCTGGGAAATGAAAAAGAACTTTACACAGCCTTCCACCAACGACCGGCATTTTCACAGAAATTACAAAACTCAGCGCAAAGTGAACTATGGTGAAATGAAGTTCGCCAAACACTGATAACTTCAGGATATACATGTGGAATGAAATAAAAGACAAAAGCATTTACCCCTCACATGAGGAATAAGCAGTAAATAATCGCAACCTAGTGCAGTATGCAATCACAGTACAATCATGCACGGCTTCTTACCAGAAAAAAAACCCATCACTTTCGTTTGTAAACATATCTTATTGTTACGGTAGCTAACCATTGAGTGCCTAGAATTCAAGCCCGAATGGAACCTACCAAAGGGGCAACGACCAACATAACATTTTCATCTTCTAGTTTCGTTATTTGTCATTAACCAGAAAGCTTCATTTCTTCCAAAAGTGCACATGGCCTTGTTGTCGTCCTAAGAGTTTTTGGGTAGTGCAATCAATGAATTGTTTACTGGGGAAGCCTGTTCATTATTTTATTGAGATGAGAATCTTCATACAAAAGGGAAAAGTCAAAATCGGTTAGATCAGCCCCGGAAGAACAGTCGAAGAACTCTCTGAATCCAGGAGACCCTGAGTGTTAAGGTCATGTGCTTAGTGGGGAGGGGGTAAACAGATTGGATGCATGGATATTTGACTGACAAATCAAAGATTCCAAAAAGATAGTGATCTTTACGTATCGTCCATTTTTACTACCGAGTGAATACAGTAAAAGGGTTAAATTCAATAGTTATATTGTACGTTAGAGAATGGAAGGAGCACTCAGGTTCGAGCCAGGTTGTTGATTCCGCGTTTAAAGGTTAGGACATTGCAAGTCAGAAGATAGATCGATAAGTGCTCCACGATAGTATTGTTCTTAGGGAAAAGATCATTGGAAGCTGAAAATTTAACACCTTGAGAAAGTCACTTGGAATGGATGGCTAACAGCTTGTGTACGGAACCCACGAGGAAGAACAAGTGAAACAGACAGGAGGGAAGTTTGGCACAACAAAAATTGGAATAGTATCGGTAGAATAAGGCGGCTCTGTCGTCGCCCGGCTCACTACCACGCCTGATCTATTGAAGCCTTATGTGGT